GTATATTTCACAGAACTAGAGAAAATAATCCAAAAATTCATTTAGAAAGCCTCAATTCAAAAATGGGCATCTGAAATGAACAGACACTTCTCAGACAGACAGGTAAAAGCAGCAAATGAAATATGAACAATAGCACTGGTCATTTGAGAGATGAAGATACAGACAACACTGATGTTCCACCTAACCCCAGTAAGAATGGCTGCTATCAAGAAATCAAGAAACAGCACATGCTGGCAGGGTTGTGTCGAGAAAGGAACAGTTCTCCATTCGTGAGAATGCATACTGGTGCAACGACTATGGAAATCAATATGAAGATGCCTCAAACATACAGGATTAGAGGTCCCATTTGACCCAGCTATCCTTCTGCTAGGTATCTTCCCAAAAGAATTAAAAGAATCATACCACAGTGATACATTTGCACCCATGTTTATAGTGGCACAGTTTGTAATTTGGAAACAACCCAGTTGCCCATCAACTGGAGATTGGATAAAGAAGATGTGATTTTTCTATAGAATGGAGTACTACTCAGCCATAAAGAATGATAAACTAGAGTCATTTATTGGTAGATGGATGCATATCCAGGCCATCTCTTAAGTGAAATAAATAGGGCACATGTGTCAATACCAAATAGTTTCTCTGGTGTGAAAAACTAAAAGTGTAAATAAGGTTCAAATTATATTGTTGATAATGTGAAATATGAAGAATGGGCGTACAGGAGTAGGGGAAGTGGGAAGGGGGGAAAGGAAAGATGGGAAAAGAAAAAATATGAGAAAAGGAAAGATGGAAACAAGATCTTGTAAATAGGGAAGGGTGGAGGGGGTGAAGGGAGGGCAGGGGTATGGGGAAAATATAAGCACCATGATACATCATGTAAAGGTATGAGAGCCCAATGATGAGTGTAACCATACTGTATACCTAACAAGTACCAATAAACTTAATTTTTTAAAAAGTGGGAGGTGTAGGGGAAGGGAAAGAAATAAATATGAGAAAGGGAAACACATTTCTTTGTAAATAGGGAGGGGTGAAAGGGAGGGGAAATGAAGCAAAAAATAAGAAAGAAGATATATCATGTAAAGGTACAAATTCCCAGTAAGAAATGTCATCATCTTGTATGCCTAAAATGTACCAAATTAATGAATTTTAAAAAATGAACAAAACCCCAAATGATAATTTAGCTCTTGGATTCCTTATGACCCTTAAATCTACTGCATCATGTATAAAATATGATTATGACCCTAATGTAGTGAATTTCAGTTTCTTAAATGCATTTTTAAATCACTAGAATCACTGGCTAATATTAAAAATAATAGCAACATCTCCAGATTGGGTCTTTGTCATTTATTTTACACTTGCTCTTAGGCAAAAGGCCGGGAAGCGATTTTGTCATTTATTTTAAAGGTAAAAATCCAGGACTACATTTCAGAGGCAGGTTGTCTTGTGGTTAAGTGTGTGATGTACAGGATGTGATCATACCCTAGATTTATATAGTTAGTTCCCGCCCCTGCAACTTAACACACACACACACACACACACACACACACACACAAGGCCTCAAAATATAGGATTTAATGTGGTTTCGCTAGTTACCTTGTCACCATGTCTGTGTTTCAGGCACTGTGCTCAGTGTTGTCCTGGCCACTGAATAGCTGACAGTCTACCATGGAAACAGTGAGACAGTCCCCGCATTGACTGCAGTCAGAACACAGCTGAGAGGAAAGGTAGTTCTGCAGAGAAGTGTGAGCCAAAGAATACAAGAGTAAAAATATGACTGTGAGCTGAGCCCTGGGAGCTGATTAGGGGGAAATTATACATACGGAGCAAGGTTAGTGAGGTTGGAGTGACACTGCCCAGCCCAGTGCCAAGCATATGCTGGGGGCTGTCTGTTTTCTGCCCCTCCCCGGGATAGAAATAGATTGATAGAGCAGATGTATTTGTGTACATTCCAACCCTAGTTGACTTCTCAGTTGGCATCCACCTTCTCTTACTCTTTAGCTCAGTTTCTCTCATTTCTGCCTGCAGCTTGCTCTCATTCTTTTCTACCTCTGCTCTGACGTACTTCTAGGCCTCTCACCATTTGCTGAACCTATGGCCAGTGCCCCTTTCACTGTCCTGGTCATGCTCTGCCTATGCTGTCCTGTTGCAAGGCTCCAGGAGTGATGCATTGTGGGCATTAGGAAGCAGAACAGTGGGTGCTAGAGGGTTAACTCCGCCGAGAAAGGATCCAATTTGAGGACTGCTCGGGTAGAGAGTTTGTGTATTCTCAGAATGGAGGCTTCATGTGATCTAAAGTTGGGAGTAAGCCATTTTGGGTCTAGATATTGTCTGTTGTCTTCCATTCCTGCAGTCAACCACGACATTTGCAGCATTTATAATCAGCCTTTTCTGCTGGCACCTCCAGGTCACTTTAGTTATGTTTGTCGAAACATCAGCACCACTTCGGCACGAAGATTAAAAGCCTAGAAAAGTCCTTATTGCCCCAACGCCCACAAGTAAAATCCCTATAGGCAGCTGCAATCACTGTGTAATACATGCACATTTCTACATCTGTATACAGAAGCACACACCGGGGAAGTGAGGGGCCTATCTTGTCTTAAGCCTTGGAAACCTAAAAATTGGATTTTAAAAAATTAGGTTTAGAAAACAAATTCGGTAAGTGTTCAATTTCTTAAATAATTTTTTAAAAGTCTGTGTCATATAAATAAAAAGTATCTTTGTTTTGTTTAAGCATTTGGTAATTCTCAGCTTTTCAGAAACAGCCTCACTCCTACCCCTCGAAGTACCAGGGATTGAACCGTGAGCCTTTGCACTAAGGTATATCTTTAGCCCATTTTTATTTTGAGAAAAGGTCTCACTAAGTCACTCAGTTGTCTGGGCTGGGCTTGAATTTGTGATCCTCCTGCCTCAGCCTCCCAAAGTGCTGGGATTAGATATGTGCCACTGTACCCAAAAGACACAGCTTTTGCTTAAGAAAGTTAAGCATGGTTTTAAAGGCAGACACCATTCTTCCTTCTAAATGGGGTTGCCATGTGAATTTTACTTTCATGCAGTTCATTTTATCTTTGAATCAATAGAGCTTTTGCCTAAAATATCTCAAGCCATGCCACTTGGGGTCTTTGAAGTTAAAGCTGTGGCATCATTCTTTCAGTTTATGGTTGTAGAATGATGCATATGCTGTCTTTGTTAGATCACTCCATCTGCTTAGTAAGCCTGAGAAAGAAGTGGGATGATAGCGTATATGTGGATGGGTAGATAACACTGGGTAGTCGTGTACCGGGGCTCCAAATGGGTTTTCATTTTTCTGCTTGGTATCAGGTGCTAAAGTTCTACAGAGTGGCAGTTCCTGCTGGTGTGACTTGGGCATCCTGTTATTGCAATTGTGCCTTATGCACAGGAGAGGAATATTAATTTTCTTTCCAGCACTGGAAAAGGGTAGTGGTTCTTCCAAATGCTCTTTCCATAGCCAATGAAGGGATCTTACACCTTGCTGATAGGAAACAATTTGTTATGACCTACAAATCGAAACAACAACTTTGCCAAACCTTTTTGAACATGTTTAAGACTGCAAGTCAAACTTCTGTAAACACATTCGCATTGGGAGAAGTCCTTGTAGTGTCAGATTTCTCTGATAATAGGGAGGCAAGTTAAAACCTCTGGACAAGTCAGTTTCCCATTTCCCACATCACAGCAATGTTAGATCCTCAGTGAGTTAGCCTGAAGAAAGGGTGTATATTGTGAGGGCTCCTTGGCTAGGTCTCAGAAGCCAGAAGAGCTGGGTGGTGTGGGTTGCTAAGGTACAGCTGTAGTGGCTTGCTGATTAGTACATTCTCCCTTCAGCCTCCATGGTGGGTCTTTGCTTGATTTGAATGCCTATCTGTAGAGAACAGCATACGAGTTTCTAATTCAGTTCCCCACAATCATTTTTTTCTTTCCTTCATTCTTTGTCATCTTTGATTAAACAAAACAAATATGTATGTTACTATTAAGTATGCATCTTTTCAAACAGTGTAAAATATTTTCTTGCAAGTGTGACAGAGGTTGGTCTTGATGGGAATAGTAATTTATGTTGAAGGTGTTTTAAACCACTTACCAGGAAGAGAGATGTGGAGAGTCATACTGAAAAAGTTTAAGAGTCTGTGCTGCAATAGGATAAGTTGTTTGTGCCTTTTTCTACTTCAGAGTCCTCAACAAAAACTCTGCATTCTGCCCTAAAATATCATCAGCATAATTTCATTCAACCAATTTTATTCTTCTCTTTATTAAAACTGAAACTTTATCTAGATGAGCTAAAATTGCAAATAATAAATATTGCAAATATTGGCAGGTTGTAAATAGAGTACTTAAAGAAACTGGAAATCTGCCACCTCACCCGTGACACTTTAAAGATCAGTGTGAAGTGGGCATGGTTGTCATCAGAAGCCTTGCTGGGAGTGGGCATAAGGTTCCAAGGTCATCCTGAGGCTGGAGTTCTATAGACAGGTTGGTATATAGGCTAGTGGGTGGCAAACCAGGAACCTGAGCTGATGGGAAACAGAGCCATTTCAAGAAGACTGGCTTGACATTAAGACAGGAAGTGGAACAGATATGGACTGGGGACTGGAGGGAGATTTAAGCCGAGAGGAGAGTGGAATAAGATTTCAGAAGATTCATTTTTAATGTACCTCCCCCAAGGGATGACTCGTGCTGACCTTTAAGAAGGATTGGGCGCATGTGCGTGTGTGTGTGTGTGTGTGTGTGTGTGTTTCCATGTACATCCGCATTCAAGGCTTTTGTCCTTATCTTTCTTGACTCCTGAAAGTTAAAGTCTCATGCTGGCTTCCTTTGTGGTACAGGATCAAGTCTGCAGTTTCAGGCAGGTGTTTGTGTCAACTGTGTGAACAAGAAAAATTTGTGGGTAAATTGATTGTAACAAATGGAAATTCTGTGATGGTATTCTGTGGGTGGTTTACAGGCAGGGCACTTGATTCTTTTTTGATGTATCACTATTTTTTTTTCTTTTACAGTTTACTGAAGAGGAAGGATGCTGATCTAGAAGTGGAAAAAGTAAGTTGACAAGTTTTGTGCTGGAGGCATGTGTTTCGTGAATTAGAAGGCATTTCCGGTTGGAACTGAACATAAAGTTTGCTTTTAACTTGGGATTGCATTTGAGTTTATCAATAGGTTTCTTTTCTTCCTCTACTTCTTCTTCCTTCTTTCTTCTTTCTTCTCTTTTTTGGGGGGGTGGTACTGGGGATCGAACTCTGACCCTTGCGCTTGCCAGGCAGGTGGCGACACCACTGAACTAAATCCCCAGCCCGATCAATAGATTTCTAAGAGAAGTTGATTTGGAGTTGGAACCTGTTATGTGAATTTTAAAAAATCTTAGTTCACTTCAATTTTGGTAATTATAGAAACATATGTTTTAGCATAAGTTGTATCTTCCCAGTCCCAGAAGTACTAGATTGGAACAACTGCCCTGTGGGTCATGAGCCTTTGGGTCAGTGAGGGGTAAGTGGTACTCTGTCTTCAGACTGGCCAAAGGATATCCCCTTTAGTCCATTCATTATGGTTTTTTTTCCCACTCTCAGCTGGTTACTGCTTGCCTTTGCCTTAGCTGTGCTTTGGAGTTGTGGCCAACAGCTCATTCATTCTCTTAACATGTTTTGGGTACTCACTGGGCATTAGGCACCACAATGGATGCTGCTGAGGCAAAAAATTTTGTGACAAACAAGTACTCAGGTAATTATGGTACTATTTGGTAGAGTGATGATAGGGGCTCCAGCGCTCAAAACGAGGGCCAGGCTACCCAGAAAGCTCCATGGAAGTGGGATTTGTAGGAGCTGTGTATTTACTCTAGTGGAGAGCAAACATTAGCTGGGTCTTCTCTGCCTGCCCTTCCCCTTGTCTTCCTGGTGTGGAGTTCCCCACTGAAAGGCTCAACTTGAGCAGAACTCGGGTCACCCAGGGAGTTCTTTGCTGCCCAACCACATTGTATAGGTATAATTTTCCAACAGTTCTGAGTTCCATCCTCAGTTTCCTGGTCCCTCAAGTGACGCCACTTCACTAGCAGTGACTTTATAGGTTATTTCTCATTTTCAGTTTGAGTGCAGGGGAGATTTTTCTTCCTGAACTGGAGTCATTTTGAATGTAGCCAGTGTGGTTTTTGCAAAGTTGAGGAATATACTGTCCCAAACACTGTTCCAAAGCAGCCTTGAGCAGCTCTTAACCTTGACCCCACCTTAACCAGGCCCCTAGCTTTTGTAGCATAAACTATGACTTTCAACTTGACTTTCAAGTCAAGGGCTTCTCAGCTTAAATGAAATAGGGGTACTTGGAATAAAACAGAGTCTTTAATTGGGACGAGACAGGAGCCTTTTTTTAGAATCTCATGTACTTAGGTTTTTAGCATGGATTGCAGAGATTCTTTCATAGGAGCCCAGCATACTGTAACCCCCAGCTGTGGGCCAGACCCACCATGGCTAGGGCAGGGTGGCACAGAGCAGCTGGCCCACCTGGCAGCGACAGTCCTGGTAACAATCGGTGGCACCCTAGGTTGCAAAGCTTGCCCTGACCTGCCTGTTGCAGGGTTAACCTGGGTCCCCAGGACTAGCCCAATGCCAGGCAAACAGGAGAGTTTAGTCAGTGTTATGGAGCAAAGAAGGGGTTAAGTCATTGATTCAGTTTTATGATTAACTTGCTGTTAGGACCTTAGCAAATCACTTTTCCTCTCCATGCCTTAGTTTTCTTATCTGTAAACTGGTCCCCTTTTTAGGAACAAGGAAAATTATTTATATTTCAGTTTAGAAACAGAAGCCACACTTTTTTTTTTCTTCCTGACTTGGCTCGTGTACCAAAATAGAAAGAGGGCTCCAGTGCTCACTGGTGAAAGATTTAATGAGAGAGAGATACATAAATATGTAAGGATTTACAAGATTGGCTTACAGGGGCCAGGGATTTAGCTCAGTGGTTCCAGCTCCTGCTTCGCAAGTGCAAGGACCCAAGTTTGATCCCCAGTACCAAAAAAAAAAAAGATTGGCTTACAGTAGCTACCTGAAGAGTCAGGTATGGATGACTGAAAAGGGACTGGAAGAGCTAGAGAGCCAAAGCATTCAGTCAAGCCTGCAGTGTCCTTGTGAGTTAGGAGGTAGCTTTTCTGTCTTCAGCAAATCCGTTCCGCCACACCCTGAGCTACATTGATCCAATCAGGTTGGGTATTTCTTAGGAGACTCAGTTAACTATCACAGGCTGTTGGCCTCCACTCTGAAGAATGAGAGGAGAGAAGAACGACAGAGCCTCGCCAGCCTTACCTTCAGGTACAGCCCCAGCAGTGCTGAGTATCTGGCCAAGGCCTGAGCTTGTGGGACTGGCTCTGTCCTGTGGGTGCCTGGATTACTGGGAGAGTCCAGAATAAGGGAAGCTAAACAAGGGTGGGATTTGCTTCCTAGACTGCAAAGTGAATTTGAGCTGCCTCTAAAGGGCTCTGCCTGCTCCCCCTCAGTCAAGCAGTGAATGACCTGAAAAACACTTATCTGCTGTATGGGCTTTTCACTGTTTGAAAAGCTCTAATTCAGAATCTTTCTAATGCTGATGGAAAGCTATGGAGCGCACATCCTAAATTTTCTTTTTGCCTGTGCTTGTGGATATGACAAGCTATATCTAGTGTGCGATGCCTCTATTGTATAAAGAAATGTTACCAGTTGGCAAATACAGTAAAGAAAAATCACAACCCTAACAGTTTGTTTTTTAAATGGACTTTGGAGGTTTTTTTCTTTCAGTTGAACTTTTTTGTTAAAGACAGGACACTATGGAAAACAAGCTTTATTTTGACATGAAAATGCTCAAGCATCGTTAAGCATCAGTTCTAAGTTAATTAATACCTGTAGTTTATTGAACATACACCGCATACTGAATGTTTTGTGTATGTTATACTTACCCATTGTAACAGTCCTGTGTGGGAACACTGTTCCTCCCCATGAGTTGCACTGTTGTAGTAGGGACTCCAGTAAGATCTGTCTGGGTCCAGAGCCTTATCTTTCTCATACCCTGCCTCACCTTGGAATTGATATAATACTTGAGACAATAGATTTGCATGCCCCCTTCGAACAGGTTTTATGAGTAAGTAATATGAAAGCATTTTTATTTTCTGGAGATCTTCCTTGAGCCCCTCACTCCGAATGGGGTTGCTTATTGGTGCTGTGCTTCTTCTAAGCTGTCATTACAGTTGTGTGGTTATTTGTGTGACGTCCTTGTAACAGCTGTGTTCCCTGTTGAATGGTAAGCTTTGTAAGCTCAGAATCCTCATCTCTGTTGAACCCAATGCCTGGCTCATAGTAGACCTTCTAAAAATGCTGACTTCGGATGCCTAACATGTGAATGAAGAACATGTGACCAAATTAGAGGGTAATGAGAGCTGATAAAAGCCATTTTCATATAGCATATGTCAAAGTAAAACACTTCTACTGTACACACCAGAAACCATTGTTTCTCTTCTCCATTTAGGGATTTTATCTGTTGAAACCGTTCTAATTAATAACCTTCTATATCCTTAAGACAATCATTCACTGGCTTTCTCTCCAAAAGAACTAAGTTTCAAGCAGACAAACTAATAGATAGTTCTTAAGGATGAAGTAGATGGGGCAAGCAAAGAGAGGTGAGAGATAAAGGACTGAAAAGCCTTTAAAGTACAGAGGAAATATTAAGACCTTCTTTTTTGGCACAGAGACTCCTAGAATTCTTGAGGGATACAATTCTGAGCATGATTGCCGTAAATCACTGCTTTAAAAGTACAGCTTGTGAGGTATATCTTTATAAGTAAAATCCATAGTCATCCAAATTTTGGAGAATATGTAATCAGTTTATGTCAGAATAAGAATGTATTTTTAATATAAAAGCTGATTAAATCGAGTCATCCTTTGGAAACATAAATCATGATTTAAAAGGATTGGATTAAAATAACATCTACTTTGGTCATAACTACTATCAAAAGGCTGAGGAGAGATGTTTGATTTTCCTGTGCCCTGATTGCTTTTGTCTAGTGTGGTGAAGAGAATTTTAGTGCCTACTGTGAGAGAGGCCCCATCATTTCTGCAGTTTCAGGAAGAGAATTCCCATGTTATCATTTCCAACTCTTCTCAGGGTTTAGACAGCTATGTTCAGGCCACAAATACAACTGCCTAGATGATAGAGACAAAAATTGTCATTCAAACAGAAAGGTAAATGGAAAAATTACCTTCTACTTTAGAATTGTTTCCTTTTCCTTTGAGTGATCCCTTGAAATGTGTTGGTCTATACACAGAGAGTATATACATAGTAGGCCTTCCAATTTTCAGTGTCTTTGGTCTTAATCTTAAATACCAAGAAAAATTATAAAAAGAACATACATTCTTATTACATGGCTAATAGTCTTATGGGAAAAAGAATCAGGTTCTAAACAGATAAGAGTTTGAAATTAGTCTGCATCAGGAGTCAAGCTTTAAAGCCCTGTGTACATGAGTCCTACCCTGCTCCTTAAGAGCTAGAAAAATTAATTCACGTATGCTTTTTCTTTAGATGAGAGTATAGAATTTCCTGGGATCAGAGGGTCAGCAGTGCTTATGTGGGACACCCAGAGGTTTGAAAAAGTTGGTTGAAGCAGGGCATGTGGATGAGTCTCCAGTGTGGCTGGAGGAGGGGATTGGGTTGTGTGTGCACCACCTCACCTGTGTGCTAGATGTTAGGGGGGTGGCAGAGTGAATGAAGAGGACAGACACAGCCCTCTTGCTTCCTGAACGGAGGCACCACTCAAGATGCCTCCAGAGACAGATGCTGGAGACAGCAGATCCCCAATGCAGGTGTGAGTTGTGCCCTAGCCTCCTTGGTGTATGTGCCCGGAGCTGCCAGCCTCTGGGACTGTTAGGGAGGCCATGTTTGCTTATATTCTGCTTGTCCCTAGCCCGAACCTCACACACAGATTGATCCACTCTACTGGTGATCAGGCAATGGAAGGAGCCAGACTCATTGTGTCATTAAGTGAGGGTCACATTTTAAAAGGTCCACTTTCCTAGTGACTGGGGGCTAGGAGAAGG